GATAGATAGATAGATAGATAGATAGATAGATAGATAGATAGATAGATGATAGATAGATAGAATTCTTTATTGGCCAAGTGTGATTGGACACACAAGGAATTTGCCTTGGTGCAAATACTTTCAGTATACATAAAAGAAAAGATACATTCGTCAAGAATCATCAGGTACAACACTTAATGATAGTCATAGGGTACAATAAGCAATCAAATCATACTAGGAAACAGTCCATATAAACTGCAAGGATACAAATGACAAAGTTACAGTCACAGTCACAATTGGGAGGTGATGGGTGATAAAGAATTGCAGCCTCCAGCATCACCTTCCAGGATGTTCTAGAGTATTCCCCAACCCTGCTTTGTAATTTGCTGAGGACAAAGAAGCAGCTTGAAAACTGGACATTCCTTCTACCCTAAGAGGGAACTTGGTGTCAGGGTTGGTTTGCATAATTCTGGATCCAGCCCTTTTTCCTATTTGGGTAATTTCCTATATCTCTTTCCAGACAATTTATATCAATATAGCTGTCTTCTTTTTCATTACACCAGCACTGTGAGATGATTGGGGAAAAGAATCGCTCCAAGAGAGCAATCAAACCAACCAGAGGGGCACCAAATATTGAACTGAAATTTAAGCAGCTCAGAAATATAAGGCAGCCTCATTAATCAGAGCAGAAAAATAGTTTTCACAAAATTAAGACTAACAATTGAATGAAGAATACTGTGTTGTGTTTTATATGTATGTATGTATGTATGTATGTATGGCATTCAGCTTTGTTCGGGTATTTTCCCACGTCATTGTAGTTGTGCTTTTAAAGTCGTAGCAACGTTTCGGCAGAATCTCATCTGCCAACATCAGGCTTCTGTATACTGTTCATCTGTGAGGGATGGTACAACTTTAAAAGCACAACTATAATGACATGGGAAAATACCCGAACAAAGCTGAATGCCATACATGTAAGTACCCGTGAAAACTTAAGAATATATATATATATATATATATATATATATATATATATATATATACATACATACATACATACATACATACATACATACATACATACATACTTGTTTTCTGAGGTTCTCGCGGGTATTTGTATGTGGATCTTTGGTTGTTCGGGTTTTCTCCCGCGTAAGATTCGAAGTATCTTGGCAACGTTTCGATGAAGTCTCATTCATCATCTTCAGGCTTCTGTCTTCGGCTCTGTGCTTCTCAGAGTGATGTGAGATTGCAGCTGCTTCTTCCTTTTAACTGCTAGTGGGGGTGGGACTTGATTGGGTGGGGGCTTCGCTGCGTTCTGATTGGGTGGGGGGTGTTCTCATTGGTAGGGGGTTTGGCCGTGTTCTAATTGGCTGGAGGCGTGTTCTGTTCAGGTGGGGGCTTGGTTGTGCTCAGGTTAGTCTTGGTTGCTGGGGGATTTGAGTTGGTGAGCTGTGATCTTGCTGTTTGGCTTCGAGTTCGTGGTCATGCTGCATCTTCATAGTGGGTGTCGGTTTGCTTCATGTATGGCTCGGAGGGGTTTGAAGTGGGTAGTGATGCAGCTGCAGTGCGGCTTCTGGTCCATGGTCGTGTCTCATCTTCTGAGTGGGTGTGAGTCTGTTTTCTACATGGAAGTGTGGTGGTGGCATCTTGTGTGGCTCTCATGGGTGTGGGTCTGGTGTCATTCTTCATGTTGGGTACTCGTCTGTTCATGAGGGCGGGTTTCCAAATGGCTGGAAGGCAGGAGGTGTCATCTCGTTTATTCATGCTGTGTGCGTTTTTCTATCTCTATGGCTTCTCTGATTATTCTGCTGTTGAAGTGT